AGGACATCCCTAGGAGGCTGGAAAGCCGGCCGCCCACCACTAGAATGTCCAGATATCCCTTGAAATCCTGAAATTCCACCATGAACTTGCCCCAGCCCTGCACAGCCACCGGATTCTTATTAAAATCCTGCAATCTAAATTGTGGCTTGCGTAGAGGGCCCCCCCTTGGGACACACTCTCTGCAGTGTCTCCTCCGAGATTATAGTAAACTCAGAGCCAGTATCTAGCTCCATGCTGCAGGGGGACCCCTCTATACAGACCGAAATGTGGACTTTGTTTCGGCCGTCCCAGGGCACTTCACCTACCTGGGGCTGGGGGGAAACGGCATGAAGGTTGATGGAGTGGAGGTCCACGGTGTGGATCGGCTCTGCCTGGTGTGTCGACTTCTTGTTTTACTGTCGGCGGCCGCGGCAGACCTTGGCGATGTGGCCCTGCTTGTTGCAGGCCCGGCAGACGGCGTCCCGGAAACGGCAGGTCCGGCGTTCATGCGCCTCTCCACAGCTGGCACATGGTAGGGCAGGCTCGCTGGCAGTGCTCCCCTCGAATGATGCAATGGCGTGGTTTGGCGACGGATTTGCAGCACCTCGTCTTCCTCGGAGTCGGCCGACTCCGATGTGGCTTGGGTGCGATGGACCGTGCTGCGGTCTTGTCAGCCTTGCTCGTAAGCTGCGGCGTCCTTCAAGGCCTGGTCCAGAGTCAAGTCGTCCTGCCTGACGAGGCGTCGGCGCAACTTGGACTCTCGGATGCCCACGATGAATTGATTAAGCAGCATGTCTTCCAGGCTAGGAAAAGCACATCGCGTGGCAGCTCTTCGGAGGCCCGCCAGGAACTCAGCGGCTCTCTCCTCGGGGCCTTGGACTCTCGCAAAGAAGTCCACTCACTCTGCGAATTTGGTGGGCTTTGGAGCAAGGTGGTTTGTGAGGGTCTTAACAAGCTCTGCGAAGCTCTCCTCCTGTACCTTGCGGGGTGCGATCAGATCCTGCAGGAGAAGGAGGGTGTCCATCCCACAGAAGCGGATGAGATGGGCCCTCTTCATATCCAGATCAGTGATGTTCAGGCACTTCAGGTAGTTCTCGAGGATCACTACCCACGTTTCCTATTGCTCGGGACGGGAGAGGTCGAAGCGAGTGATGCCCTCGGCGGAGGTTGAGGTGGTGGCGGAGGAAGAGGAGGACAAGGTGGAGGCCAGAGAAGACATGTTCTCTAGTTCGCTTCTTCGGTTGCGAAGAGATGCGTTACGAGGTCTCGGGAGCGAGGCGAGTCGCGGCGAGGCGAGGTCTGACAAAGCGAGGCGCTTGCGATGAGCGGTGATTCCGAAACGAAGCAGCGGAACGCGGCAGTGGTCTCGATTGGAGCTCGGTGCAGGCTTGGTCTCGTCCAGGTCCTGTTCAGGGAAGGTAGAATCCCACCTTCGTTGCCAGTGAAAAGTACTGAGAAGCATTGAGTGATTTCAGCAAAGTACTTTTATTCAGAAGGAACAAGACGAAGTGAGCCGGCTCGCAGGCCGGTATATATGCACACGAAAACACACCCCCTACTTCCCTATAGGCTATATACAGTAGCCGAGAGTCCCATAGGCTCTCGGCTGCGGACCTGGCCCTCTGATAGGTGTGGGCTATGATCCGCTTGGCTATTGTTCTCTCGGAGCGAAGCTTCAGGACTTTGCATGACCGCATGGCCCAATGGTCGCGCACGTGGTCATGGCGGAGTACATTACACATATGATAGGTAAATACTTTACAACTGAAGACCAAACGCGTTTCGGCCCCTAAGGGCCTTCCTCAGTGGTCACTATTATCTATATATTCTAGACACACATTCAAAGACCTGTTACAGAGTTTTAGTACACATATAATTAAATCGGATGTTCTTTCCTGCAATTGTTCAAAGAAAAATAGAGGGGGGGGGGAGAAAGGAGAAGAAGCTTCATTATTCTGTCCAAATGTATAAAAGAAATTATTATTGAATAAAAAATTGATTCTATCAAAGATAAAGTTACCTTGTATACTTATAATTGGACTCCTGGTATTAGTGATGGGCCATAGATATAGCCATATCACCTCCACAACTTATTCTGAATTAAAAAGTGAAATGAAATTGTAAAAAAAAAACCAATTTGTCAGTCAAATTGTATAATTCATTTCACCCAAATTGAAATGAAAATTATTACATTGGCTAACAAACCTGGTAACAGCGATTTTGTAGGTCTGAATGTGTGTCCCTCCATTAAGGTGAAAATTCTATTATTAGCTGCTGCACTGGCTTCAATATATGTTAGTGAAACCAGGGTGATGCAGTCACCAATTAGCATTGCACAATGCCAGCCAGGAAAAGTACCAGATGGGAGGGGGTACAAAGGAGAGGGAGATAAAGAGCAGCGGGGGGGGGAGACAGGTCAACATACGGAATAGACAAAAAACAATTACAGATGTTCACAAACAGCAAGTCCAGTCCACTTCCTCATTCAATCCAAAAGGCACCCGTGTTTGTAGTTGGTAAATCCAAAACAACTCTCTTCTCAGGAGCACTCTGCACATGTTCGGGTTGGTAGTCTGTACAGACTCGATGACCCAAAATTTTAGCTGTTTATCCGTATGTTCCAAGTCCAGAAAATGGTTTACTAATGGTGCAGAACGTTTATGCAATCTAATGCAGCTTCAGTGTTCACATATTCTGACTTTTACAGGTCTAGATATTTGACCCAAATACAATTTACCACAAGGACATTGGATACAGTAAATCGCCCCTTTGCTTTGACAGTTGCAAAACGTATTAATAAAGAAAGTTTTCATTTTGGCAGTGTTTTGGAATGACTTCTTAGCCTCAGCACAATTACAGTTAGAACATTTACCACAAGCAAAAAAACCTTTAGGAATCTGCCGCCCCCTCATACAGCTGGTGTTCTTGAGTTCCGGGAGCGTACTTCTAACCAGTGAATTCCTGAGATTTCTTGTTCTCCTGGCTGTAAATAGTGGAGGATTCTGGCATCTAGGTATGTTTGATAGAGCTCTTTTTGTAGCAGGAACTCCTTTGCATATTAGGCAACATACCCCTAATGGAGCCAATCCTCCAAAAGCTTACACTAGCCCCTGTAAGAAGAGCTCTGTAAGCTCTTGGAGGATTGGCTACATTAGGAGTGTGTCGCCTAATATGCAAAGGAGTCCCTGCTACAAAAAGAGCCCTGATTAGCTGCCAATATTTATTAACAATAGTCTTCACTGATGTAAATGTGCTATTGTAGGTAAGAGGTATAATCATCCTATCTACTCTTTGATTTTGAGATCTGGGCTGATTTTTTCTCTAAGTTCCGATTCACCCTGCACCATTTCCCTGGGAAATTGAACTCGCTAGCGGATGCCTTGTCCCGCTTCCCGCAGCATGAAAGCCAACGCGAGGAGGTCCTAGAATCCTTTCCAATTGGGCGGTGCAATGACAACATGGAGCCAGGCTAAATGTTCTTCCCCTGCACACACACCCCTCCTGGGGGATAGGAAGCCAAATTCGCTGCTGCCTTTTCAGAGTTGGACAAATGGGAAGTGGAGGTGGCGGGGGATTTGGTGCTGGGGGAAAACAGGTGTTGGTATAAGGACACAAAACTTTTTGTTCCAAAACTGTTGCGGGGGGAGGTTTTGGGACTGGTGCATGGATCTAAACCGGCTGGCCACACAGGTTTTGTGAAATTGCTACACCTCCTACAACGCACATTCTGGTGGCCAAACATGCATCATCTGTAAACCCTGAAAGGGGAAACCCCCCGG